GAAACATAGATGTGAGAGACACACACCAATTGGTCGCCTCCCACACACACACACCGGCTGGGGGTGGGGAGCCAACCTGCAACCCAAGTATGTATCCTTGACCAGGAATTGAACCTGCAACACTTTGGTGTGTAGGCCAGTGCTCTCACCACTTAGCCATACTTGCCAGGGTGAGCAGAGGTTTTAATTTTGATGAAGTTTAATTTATTTTTTCTTTTGGTGTCATCTCTAAAAATATGTTGCCAAATAAAAGGTCATGAAGATTTACGCCTTCATTTTTTTTTCTAAAAGTTTTATGGTTTTAGTCCTTATATTAGATTCTGAAACCATTTTGAGGTAATTTTTTATATGGTGCAAGATAGGGGTCCAACTTCATTCTTTTGCATGTGGATATCCAGTTGTTCAAGCAACATTTGCTAAAAGGACAATTATTTCCACCATTGAGTGGTCTTGGCACCCTGTTAAAAAATAATTTACCATAGCCCTGGCAGTATGGTTCAGTTTGGTCAAGTGTTGTCCCATGACAGAAAGGTCATCGGTTTGATTCCCAGTCAGGGCACATACCTGGGTTGCAGGTTCAATATCCAGTCAGGGTGCATGTAGGAGGCAACCAATCCATGTTTCTTCTCAAACCAATCTCTCTCTCTCTCTCTCCCTCTCCCCCTCTTTCTCTAAAAAAAAAAAAAAAAAAAAAATCAATAAAAACATAGTTAAAAGAAAATCAATTGACCATAAATATGAGGAATTTGTATGGACTCCCAATTCTATAACACTGATCTACATGCATATTATTATGCCAGTATCACACTGTTTTGTTTACTGTAGGTTTGTAGTTTTTCAAGATAATTTTGGCTATTTAGGGCCCCATGCTATTCAAAATGAATTTTAGGATTAGTTTATCCACTTCTAGGGAGAAAAAAGGCAGTTGGAGTTTTGGTAGTGATTGCATAGAATCTGTAGATTAATTTGGAATACTGCCATCTTAAAATATTGAGTCTTCTATGATCTTTGGATGCTGTTTCATTTATTTAGGAGTCTTTAATTTCTTTCAACATTGTTTTGTAGCCCTTAGTGTACAAGTCTTTACACATCCTTGGTTAAATTTATTCCTGAAAATTTTATTTTTCTTGGTGCTACTGTAATGGAGTCATTTTTTTATTTTTATTTTCAGATTGAGAATTGCTAATATATAGAAATACAACTGATTTTTGTATATCAATTTCATATGCTGCAACTTTGCTGAACTAACTATATCTCATAGTTTTGGGGGGCATAGGTCTGGATTCTTTAGTGTTTTCTATATAAAAAATCATGTCACCTTTGACTAGATGTTTTCTTTCTTTCTTCCCAATCTAGATGATTTTTTTCTTTGTCTTGCCCTGGTTAGGACTTCAAATACAATACTGAACAGAAGGGGTGAGAGCAGACATCTGTGTTTGTTGTTAATCTTAGGAGAAAAGCTTTCAGTCTTTCATCTTTAACAATGATGTTTACAGTGGATTTTTTTCATAGATGCCCTTTATCAGGTTAAGGAAATTTCCTTCTATTCCTAGATAAAAATTAACAAATACCATATGATTTCACTTATATGCAGAATATAATGAGCAAAATAAACTAACAAAGTGGAGACAGACTCATGGATACAGAGACCAGGCTGACAGATGTCAGGGAGGAAGAGGGTAAGGCTGGGTGAGAAGGGTGGGGGGATTAAGCAAAGAAAAAAAAGAAAGACTCAGAAAACAGTATGGTTATTGCCAGAGGGAAGGGGGTGGTGGATGTAGAAGAGGGTAAAAGGTGTATAAATGGTGATGGAAGGAGACTTGACTTGGGGTGGTAAATGCACAATACAATATACAGATGATGTATTATAGAATTGTATACCTGAAGCATATAGAATTTTATTAACTAATGTCATCCTAATAAATTCAATTTAAAAAATAGAAAGAAAGAAAAAGGAAGGAAGGAAGGAAGGAAGGAAGGAAGGAAGGAAGGAAGGAAGGAGGGAGCCCTGGCAGGTGTGACTCAGTGGTTACAGCAGCAGCCTGTGCACAGAAGGGTCACAGGTTTGATTCCCAGTCTAGGTCATGTACTTGGGTTGCAGGTCCAATCCCCTCCCATGTTGGGGTACATGCAGGAGGAAACCAATCAATGTGTCTCTTTCACATCAATGTCTCTCTCCTCTCTCTCTCTGCCTCCCTCCCTTCCATTCTCTCTAAAAATCAATGGAAAAATATCCTCAGGTGAAGAGTAACAAAAGAATAAAGAGAGAGAGAGAAAAGAAATTGAAAAGGCAACTTACAAAATGGGAGAAAATATTTGTAAATTATATATCTGATAAAGATTTAGTGTCTGGAATATACACAGTTATAGTCACCAGGAAAATGCAAACAAAACCAAATGAGGTTCCACTTCAC